TCATAAATTGGCTATTCAACTATTAGTATTAATTAGAAATAGATTAAGTACTTAATCTTTGAGGAAACAATACTTTATTCTCTACCTATTACTTAGCTAAGATACCGTGAACTTGTCGAATTTCTTCGATCAAGTTTTTGGCGCTATTATTGAGAAATATAGTATTTAATCAATTATAAATTTAATGTGAATTTTTTTTGCTTTCCTTAGTTTTAAACCTAGATTGTTAAAATTACAGTATTTTCTTTCCTTTCAAGATCTTGTATACAATGTTTGAGATATAGTGATCTTACTCCATTTGATTTGGAAATCAAACTAACATTTAGGTTGAAATGAAAAGAATAGACAAAAGTATGCCAAAAATAGCAAGAAGATTCAATGGCAAAAAATAAACTAAACCATATTATTGTTATGGTGAATGAAAAGTAACACATCTGGTTGTAAATGTAGTTAATGAGAACGAGAGACTAATGGTAGAAAATCGATTGAGGATAACTTATCCAGCATTTGGGTAAGTGAACATTCATTTGTGGAGGACATGTGTGATCAATATATTTCAAAACGCCTTAAAATTCTTTGGTAGACCTGATGATAATGTAAACACTCATATCTCTAGGTGTTTGGATATGTGTGCAACTATTGAGAATCAAAATGTATTGAGTGATACAATTCGACTGAGGTTGTTCCCAAAATACATTAAGTGAATCAATTAAGGAGTAGCTGAACAATTTGGGAACAACTCTAGCAAGGGTGAATCGGGGATGGTAAATAAATTGCGCAAAATTTATTTTCCCTATTTTAATGGAGAACATGTAATGCCCCGAATTTTATCAACTTAAATATTGGGGTGTTATCGATATCATTTCATAAACATACATGAAGCAGAAATGAAATTTAATTGGAAATTTAAAACCCTTAATTTAATTGAAAATAAATTAACAGTGTCATAAAATTTAGAGCATAAAATGGAATTAAAGAAAAATAAAACAACTATCCTAATAGAATTATTCTTAAATATTTTCTTGAAAATTTTCTTTACTTGGCAACCCGCACACTGCTCAAACACCATCTCCTTCGACCGACCTAACCTGAAATGTTAAAATTTAAGGAGTGAGTAATTTATATGCAATAGCATACGTGCATCCAATACAATACAATAACTTTTAAAACATGAATTCATAACATTCTATACCGTCATTTCATCAAGAGCAAAAGCTAATCAATCTAATACTCTAGCACATTTGAGAAGACCCGAAGGAGATCTCACATTTCATTTCATTGGAACCCGTAGGTTAATTAGCATTTCATGAAATAAATCACATATAAAAATCATGATATTGCAAGGACATATCACTTGTACATAGTATCCTACCTCATTTGATCAAAAAAAATTTGAAAGACAAGATCCAAGAACCACGCTCCAAATTTTTATTTTCTGTCTACACAATTGTTTGTCGTGTATGTGCATAGATTAGATGAAAATAAAAAGGCAAGGGAGCTTTGTAGAATACGAATACAATAGAGGTTTATACTAAATTTAAAGAATGAGACACAAACTAAAGAGGTGGGGTTCCTGCCAAATGTAAGTGCACGTCATTAGTAGTTATAGGCAACATAAAATATTTGATTAGGGTAAGGATTGTATTTAGATAAATTGTTTCTAGCCAAAATTTGCAGCAAGAGGATTGGAAGAGACGTGCCAGCAAAGTGATAAGATTAAAACAAGAATAAATTGCATTGTATATAATATAAAACTATTTCGCCAAATTATGTAAAATGCACGTGTACACTAATAGAAGGCATAATTACAAAAGGTATTATTTGACAATTGATAAATTTTCTTCATATATAAAAATCATTATAATCACTAAAGTCGATATGATAATTTAATTTAGATGCGATAGAAACAATAGTATTAGTAACAATGCAATTAATTAAAAAACTTGACATGCATGCATGGGGCACGTGATGTCATGGAGCATCTTTGGACCACCCATCGTATTAATCATAATTAATTCCAAACTTAAAAGAAACCATGAGCATATTGGAATTTAGATTATTCTATAAAATTTTTGGGGCGCTACAAAATGGTAGGGAGAGTGACTAAGGAAAATTGTCAATCTTTTAAAGCGTCATGTGGGTGGGAGAGCGAAGGTCAGTGGGTTTTGTGGTTTTGATTTAGTTTGGAAAGAAAATTTGGAGCTTTTAGCGAGGTGTGAACATATAATTTCTTTGTAAAATTCACGTGAATTTGCAAAGAAGATTTTGAGACATTTTGATGTAGCATTGAGGTGGCGGCGGCTAAGGTGGCAGTTGGTGGTGGCGAAAACGACAAGTGGGTGGATTTCGTTGGGGTGGTGAGGAGGGGGGGTTTGGGAAAAAGATGAATAATTTCTTATATCTTTTCTTTGGTTTTTTACTTTTAATTAATTATTTTACGTAGAAATTATAGAGCCAGTATTTTTCCATCATTGAATTAATAAAATGTGGTCAAATTTAATTTTCTTGGTCAACTAAAAGAATATGGATGAAAATCATCCATCTTGTCCTTGTTATGCAACTATTTTAAAGATTTGGGATTGTGGATGATACAAATGAAGAATTTGGATAAAGTCTACAAAAAAAAAGGAAAGGTTTGGGATCATAACTTCAATATCCTTATAGGAAATTAGATTCTGAAGAACTAAAAGACATAACAATTTCTCTTCAATTGACAGATAGATCAATCAAGTAATCTTTAGGCATGGTTAAGAAGGTGCTCATTAAATTGGACAAGTTCATATTTTTCGATATACTTTGTCTTCTTAGACATAAAAGAATACTGGAATATACCACTTTGTGATGATCATCCCTGTCAATGAGCCACGGCTTAATGAAATTTTGAGGGGAGTGAGATATTTTGAGGACGGAAGATGAGAAAAAAATTCTACGTTTTGCCATGATCAAGAACCCATATCATGTTGAGGAAGGCTGGAATGTTGAAAAGAAGGCTTGAATGATCACAAGTATTGCACGGAAAAGAAAGGAATAGTAATAATTATGGGAAAACTCAAGGATGAAAAATGTGGTTTACAACTTTGGAAAATTGAGAAGGGATTTGGTAATCTCAAACTTTATGTTCTATGCTAGCTCAATGAAATCCGGTTGAACCACCATGAGTCATCGCTTCACAAAGTATTTTAGTCCTTTGAAAGGATAATTTGGGTGTCATTAAATTGGTGTTAAAAACTATTTAGATAGGTGTTTAACTCCATGCATGAGAATAATTGTGTGAATATCTTTGGCTACTAAGTGGATCCTAAATATTGACCATTCATGGGAAGTCTAATCCCAATTATTAATCTCAATATAGATATTTCACTAGTCGAGGAAGAATGAGGTAAAAGTGTCGGAAGAAGTAGCCTTCATTAGGTAATTATCAAAAATATAAAATCGTTATTGAGAGGTGCTAAATACCCTAGAGTGGAGAGAAGAAACAGTATGAAGAAGCAGCATGTCGTTGACACTATCAATGGCAAAGCAAAATAGCTACCTACAAGTGTGCTAAAAATTAAAAATATCAAAAGAAAAGGAATGAAAAAGAGTCATGTAGAAGAAGAAAAATCATATAGATACTTGTTTGTATCTATTTGTATCAAGTCTCTGAATACTTATACCGATAAAGTGTTTCTTCTTTGTGCTCGATTTTTGTATCTATTTTTGCATAGTATTTTGCAAAAGTTAATATATTTCTTTCATGTGAAGAATTTTTGGAAATGGTTTTAATTTTGAGCAAATTTGAGATGAAAATTAAAGTGATTGAGAGGGCTTGGTTGGCAAAAACAGAACTTCAACACGTTGTGCCATGCTATCACGATACAAAATTCAGGCAAAAATTATGCTTCTTATCTTATGTCATCCAAGTTTTGAAAAGCAATCTGGTCAACAGTTTAACCTATTTGGGCCTCTAACTTGGACATTCTTCATTTTGGAATGTGGAGAGCAAGGCTTGAAAGAGATTCAAATCTGATTACATCAAGAATTTGAAGATTCAAGGTTTGAAATTGAAGATCTATAGCAAGAAATTGATTTTGTCTCTTTCGTGAACTTATATGTTCCCGGTGATGAATTTAGATAACTTTTTATATAATGTCATCATAGAGATGTTAGCCTAAACTTGTTAGTGTTAGGAAGATATAAGCCATTATTTTACCGTTCTAATTCAAAGACCGTTTCTTGAAGTTGGTTTATGTAATTGATTGATATTGCATGCTTTGATCACTATTTAGATAATATGTTGCTTATTTTATTTCTGAGAGATTCAAAATAGGTCTAAAACATTATGATAGTTAACATATGGCTCAATAAACGTTTAAAAAAATAGTTTATGACTTTTGCAACCAAACTAGGTAATCATACAATGTAATGCATTGATTTGCATATGAATTAGGATATGTATATTTCAAAACTTACTTGGAAATAGATTTGTCTTACCGAGAGAGAGAGAGAGAGAGAGAGAAAGTGTTGAGTAAATTGGATTAACGGTTGTCAATAATATACAAAGTATACAAAAGAATATAGGTTGAGAATTTGAACCGGGAATAAACGCAGAGTCAGAATCCTAACACGCTCATCTCATACATTTTATTTATGTGAAATTAGAGGGATAATAGCCCAAATTGTCACACATAACTTTGCAAAGGTCCACAAGGGGTCATTAAACTTAAAAATTCACCCAATCCATCACTGTACTTTGCATTTGTACCCCTTCGTCACTTAGCTCATGATCCATCCCAGTAATCTGTAGACACCAGTCTTCTGCGACTTGCTCAAAATCCCAGTAATCAGAGATAGGCCGATCTGTGTTGGGTAAAATGACTACAGGTTTAAATTAGCTTTCTTAACGAATTTGGTTGAGCCATCATTTATATAAATCATCTCTGTAAGGCAAGGAGAAGTATAAATAGAAAAAAGTTACACTTTCACGGTGTGAACTCCTTTTACAATAACGAAGAAGTTGATTGAGTACAACATAGTACTTTATTACAATAAATTTATTAGAAGATTAAAAATGAGTGACTTGAACATAGATGCTAATACGAAGATCATAAAAATTATTATCATACATTGGGACAAAAATGTGAATCTAAACTGAAGTGATAAAGGAGGTGGGATCTGGAGGAATGGGGACTTCAACAGATCCTTCCATAAGTTGCATTACTCTCTTCATGGTAGGCCTTAATGTTGGTTCTTCCTGAATGCACCAAATCGCGATCATCACAAACTTGTCAAATCGCTTGTCGCCTAATGCCTCCTCATCGTCTGCCACTAGCAAATGCATTGTTCCTTCTTTGTAACAATCATAAGCAAAATCAGCAAGTATCATTTCGTTCTCAACCTCAACATCTGGTTCATAATTTCTTCTGCAACAGATAAGCTCGAGCAACAAGATTCCAAAGCTGTAAACATCAACCTTGACTGTAATCGGCATGTTTCTGAACCACTCTGGAGCAACATACCCTTTTGTTCCCCTTATTCCGGTGGTGGTTTTAGATTGATCTGACTTCAAAAGCTTGGCTAATCCGAAGTCCGATATTTTTGCTGTGAAGGATTCATCTAAGAGTACGTTTTGAGGCTTAATGTCACAGTGTATGATTTGATTTTTACACTCTTCGTGCAAATAGCAAATACCTCTAGCAGTTGCAAATGCGATCTGCATTCTTTTGTACCAGTTGGGCCTTGAATTTTCAAACAGCAAGTTTGCTAAAGAGCCATTGCCCATGGATTCATATACTAAAACCCGATTTTGGCCCTCTTCACAATATCCCAGCAATTGAACTAGATTTTTGTGATTAGTACTGCTAATTGAGTTTACTTCCGCTTTAAATTCTTGTTCGCCTTCTGTAGCCATCTTCTGAAGCTTTTTCACAGCAATTACGGTTTCAATATTGTCGTTCTTAAGGATCCCTTTGTATACTGTTGAACAAGCGCCCCTGCCCAATTCCTCCTTGAATCCATTTGTTGCTAATTGTAGCTCTTTGAAACTGAATCTTCTTATGTTCAAGCCTGGAAGATCTTGATATGGTTGAAGGCTCTTCGATTTTTGTTGATTGAAACAGAGAACATACAACAAGAGGGATAAAAGTAGGAACATTGAACTGCCTAAGAAAACTGATAGGATAATGATCAGAGTGGAACTCTTACTCTTCTTAAAGACACAGGAGTATGCAGTTGCATTTTTTTTCCTTACTTTTATCAAAGCTTTTCCCCCTACGCTGGAATCTATCACCCCATTGGTGAGAGGATATTGTTTCTTCCAACATTGACCAACGCTGTTGTAAATTGCTACAGCACAAAAACAATCATTGAGGCAATATTGTCTACATAAATCTTCTGAGGTTTTCTCAATTAGTGCGTAATCGGAGAGAGGCCAATTTATGTTGGTCCTGTCTTTTAAAATAAAAAGGTCAGTTTCACGTGCCCCTTCATCACAGCTTTGTACAACGAAATTTGGTTTGCAACCACTCATCCTGTCAATTG